CAGCGACATCCAGCACCGGCGCTGCGCTATTAGCGCCACTTGTAGCATCTTTAATATGCATCTTGATTGAGAGAGTTGCGGAGCCTACCGTCTATATAGTTGCTTATCGATTTGCTCAGAAAATGTCGCAAACAACTGTTTTGCCTTTCGCATCTTTGTTTCGCTAGCTTCATTCCTGACTTTTTGATGAAATTGTGTAGTATTGAAGGCAGCGTCTAAGCAAATACCTGCGAGGATTTTACGTGCAAAGTAATTTTGGGGCCCTAACTAAGGCACGGGCCAAGCTACAGCGCAAATGACTCACTAAAGGCTGAGATATACGCTTCTAAACCGGATCCCAGGATCGTATTATCGGACGACTTGCATGTTTGCATGCTTTACGAGGACCCACGCGAAACTAATGTGTTGCGCCAGAATCCACGCGAAATACAATCCTGGAGTCCAGTTTGGAGGAGAATATTTCAGTAGTTAGAGCACCATTTGAGCTGCCGGTTGAGCAGTGTTTTAGCTAGGGTCCCAAAATTACTGTCTACGTGAGATCCCCACATGTCACGATTTACCTGGACGCTGCCTTCAATAGCGCAATGGCAGTGCGAGCCGCAAATACCATTACAGGGTCTGATCGCGCGTGGGCGGCAAGCTTTACTGCTACCCAGGCATGGTCACGCCTCACGAGCAGTGTTGAACATGCGGTCAGGCGTGCCCGGCGGGGGGGGGGGGAGGTCGTTTTGGGGGTGAGACTGAGGTGGGGTCGTAGTAAAGAAACAAATTCGTGTAAAAGGTTGAGAAATATTACGATCAAATAGGATGAAGAAGGAAAGTGGAGACCGATGAGTGTCACAACTCCACCAGAATAAAGGAATAAGAGTCCTGAACAGCGATTAACTCTGCCAGCGAATTTGCAACTTTCAAATCTGTTGTCGATTAGTTCAATGCACGGACTGCTTCGTTGCGGACCACGCGCGCCGCAGCTGAAAGTTGCAAGAGCACGACTTGTACAATGATGACTTTATATGGGGCAAGATCTTAATTCCCTCCGCAGTAAATTCGTTCCGTGCGGTCAACGAATCGGCATCTCTTGAATTGCACACACGTAAGATGACCAAAAAGCTTGCTGTGTGACTTGGATAAGATTTTCGTAAACAGCATGTCCAATTAGTTCCGCGAGCTCAGCAAACCAATACCTATTACATTTGCTAGTGATTCCTGAAGTCTAAAAAGCGTGATTTTCAAAAATGATTAACTTGTTTTGAAGAGAAACAGTCAGCTTTTTCAAAACAAAGTATTGTTCTCTGTCAGTCTATGACAGAAAATAGACTTCATATGGCGCTAAAGTAAAGGATTAGGAGATACTGCAAGGATTCTAATCACTGCGATTTTTACCCTAAACACTTCACCTTCACTAATCACCACCAAGCCAAAACAAGCCCAAGTATGCTCAGACATTTGGAGTAGATTCTCCGAGTTCATGCTGTGAATCACATGAAACTTGGGTGAGAAGGCTTCTATAAGGATAAAGTTATTGGAGTCAGGCACAACTCACAACCCCTCAAATACAGGGTGTCCCAAAAAAATGTGAACACTGTTTGTTTGTTAATAACTCCCTTGCTTTTAAGTATTTCGCCGAGCTTAAGGCACCATTCTATAGAGCAAGGTTTAACTTAGATCTACAGTATGGAGCGAATCAACGATCGCTGTTCATTACTATAGGATTACGGCAGGAACTTCGACAAAGATTTTAGGCCTTTGGAGGCCATATTCTCCTCGGAACAAAAGCAAGTAAGCGAAAAACTTTTATACTATGGTAGTGGAAGCCGCTGAGTTCGAATATGAAATTTCCACTTTACTGTGATGCTTCTTTCCAAGATTATCTCAGCTAAACCGTAATAATGAATTTCCAGCAATTGTCAGAAATGTGACTATACCGTCAAAAAAGCTAAAAACACTTTTAAAAAGTTGTGTAATAGAATCAGCGTGCGCGCAAACCCTAGTACACGATTTTTCAGATTTTTTGAAAAAAATTTGTCAAATGGCATATTTCACAATAGATCCATATGCTAAAAGTTTATACCGTAATCCTACAGTAACGAACAGCGATCGGTGATTCGCTCCATATTGCAAATCTAAGTTGAACCTCGCTCTACAGAGTGGTGCCTCAAGCTCAGCGAAAGGCATGAAAGCAACGGGAGTTATTAACAATCAAACACTGTTCACATTTTTTTGGGACACCCTGTATTAGGCTGCTTGAGCTTTAGTAGCTAACTCGACTTCAAAATTTAGAAAGCAGTCCATTCCTAGTATGAGTACTCAGCTCATAGCCTCTCCTCCACACATTAAGAATTTGGAGCAAAACAACCCATCCCTGTGGGAAAAATGGATCTTCGAGTAGGCCCATTCACATCAAAACCCGCCGTTAAAATGCGTGCACTTGCAAACCAAGTGCAATCGTAGCACAGGCTAGTGTTCCCCAAAATGTTACACTCTGAGTCCAAATGTGGAGGTAAACCGATAGGAATGGGGGGGGGTCGTCTTCGAAGGACTTGTGCTTGACCCTTTGCTCAATCCTGGTCATGAGCAGCAGCAGCAGCAGCAGCATGTGTTTTAGTCGGGCACTTTGTGAACTCGCTTTTTTCACATTACGACATATTTCAGGGGTTCGCTACGGACCCAGCGACTTACGGGAATTATGTAGAGGTGGCGTCAACTTAGATTCTCTTCGTTAGTGTAGCATTATGACGGGAGATCCAGCATGGGGTAGGGTACGAACGCCTCAATTAGGCGCCGCTTCTGCGGGCTGCTGGTCCTTTCGTCTTACCGTTGTACATCGTGTTGGGACCAGTAGTCCGCGGAGGCGGTGCCAAATTGAGGTGTTCGTTCCTCCACCCCAGCATGCAACACCATCGTGATTGATTGCTTTCTTGAAATATTTCCTAATAAAAATACTAAAAAGTTGTGTAGCAAGATTTTTACGCACATTGATCTCACTATTCACTTTTTAGTTTCTATGATTTTCGGATGGAGGCGAATATTAAACAGGGTCAAGCGTATTGATGCGATCTTAGACCCTCTTCTACGACCCCCCCCCCCACCTACCCCCCACTCCTCCCACCTACCCCTTCCACTTTCTTTTGCGGTAACCTGCATAAATGAATGTCAATCTCAAACCTGCCAATAGACCTTAATCAACCTTAGATCAGAAATAGATAACTACTTACAAATTGAGAAATAGTGCAAGTAATGCTTCGCCATTCAAAAACCAACTCACAAATAATTCTGCGTAGATTGGGTTAAGTAGTAAGATTCCACGAAGATTTGACTATGTTTACTGTGCTTGGGAAAATTTGAATGGAAAGGGCATTATCTGAAGAAGCAGAATATCGATTTCGATCTGAATGATAATTAAGCTTTACTTTAAGCTTTACAAATTATTGACGGTCATCGTTGGCAAAGATCAGGGTCAATCAAGAGGTGTGGCACACCCCCTTAAAAGCTGTGGCGGCCACAGCTTTTAAGAGGGTGTGCCACACCCCATTGACTATACAAAAACATTTGTAGCAGCGAACAATATTTATATGAATTTATAGCTTAAACCTCGTAGATTCCATAAAAGTGATTTGAGCCTTATTCATCTTCTTAGCTCTGAGTAATATTCGGTGAAAGTATACCCATCAAAACCGAAAAATGGAAAAAACGAGATTTTGGTTGGCTTCTAAATCCAAAGAATGAGGGTCTGTTGAAGCGGGATTTCTGGCATGGACAGAGAAGTAGTAGTGCTTCGTTTTGAGCGCAAAAACGAACAACTAATTCACCTTTGAAACAAAGTTAGTCATGTTGAAAAATGACCATTTCACTTAGGTGGCTTAGTATCTCGAGACTTCAGACTTCGCTCAAACTTTATCTAAAGGGGTTGATTGATATGCTAATTATGGATATGATACTCATTAAGCTTTGTAGCACGTCTTTGGCATGCTAAGATAGTGTACCTCATGTGATTTTTCGCCTGGGGTTACCTGACAAACTGCTCACAAATATCATTTTATAACTAATATCAGAATACCCAACTACTACCCCCTCCCCTTTTGGCTCCTCAATACGACCCCCCAGGCAAAGCCTTGGAATTTTTTCACATTCTTGGCTGCAGAAATTCACAAGCAGAAGACCACGACCTCCACTGTGGCGCCATCAGTTTTTGGTGACAGATAATCTTGACTACGTGACATTTGACATAGAAGTTTGTAGCTATCTTCTCACAAAAAAAAAACTTCAGCTGAAAAGCCACTACGTGATAGAGCTTCAATTTTTATGTAAAAACGTTTTTTAGTTATCAGCAAACTTAATACATTCGAATGTCTGTTTTTTGTTGTTTTGTCTGTATGTAAATTTTCAACTTGCATCTCCTCACCAATCCTTACCAAAGTTTGCACATATTGCTATCGATATCAATCTGTCGATTTTTTCAGGCAAATTTTGAGGTAGGAGTTGGGGTGGTTTGGGAAGCGGGATGGGAAGAGAAGGGACATGACAAGGGGGCCAGAAAACTAGCATATAGAAGTGAAACAAAAAATGTTGTGTACAAGTGAGACAGACTGTTGAGTTCATCATAGTTTAGGGCAGAAACTTGGGGTGCCAGATATCAAATATATAAATGCGACGTCGCTTTCTGTTGTTTTTCGCTCTGCCGTCAACCTTAGGCATGTCTCCTTTTGTAAATACGCTTTTGATCCCGCTAGTCATATTGCCCTTCAATGCATTCCTTAAATGGATGGCTTGTGTTGTGCTTCACGTACTTGTCTAAGCGTCGTCACATCTAGAAAATGCAGGTTTATCATCTCATCATGTTATTTTAATCAGCTCTGATTTGCATCACGAATTGATTGTGCTTCCAATCATTACAACACAGACTTAGTTATTTGCTTTTATGTTCACAGCATAAAGATTATATGCTGCGCACAATAATAGAATAGCATGAGTGAACATGATACTACATTTGTTCACAGATACCATCTTATACGCACTCATTGCCATCCAAGCGTAAGGTCATTAGTCACTATACTCGTTCCTAGTCTTCTTGCTGTTGGCTGTCTTTTTAAGGGGCAGAGAAGTCTGTTTGTCCGCATTTTGGGTGTCTTTGTTAAAATCTATGATTCGTGAACGATCCATGATCACGTGTTGTCAAAAGCAGCCAGTCAAATCTGCACACATAAGGATCGGACGCGGCTGATTTTGAGAGAGTCTAACCAAAGCACTGTTCAAGTGGCGGCGCAGATGGTTTATTTTTTTATTTTATTTATTTTATCATTTCGCTAATTTATTCGTCTCCAAGCCAGACCCGGTACCGTATTTGGCAGACGACTTGCATTGGGCTACATGCCATTGCAAATCCATCTGCGGCAGGGCACCATGCAAGTCCTCCTTTGAAGGCAGTGTCCGAGTACATAGACGTCCACGCCTCGAGGATCACGCCCATTTCCTTGCTCAGCCAGTTTCCTCAAATGACCTCTCTTTGGCCCTTGACGCGTTTTCACTGGCAAAACCTAACGAACACTTAGTCTTTACCTGTCAATGTTTGCTTCTGTCAAGGATAGCGCCAGGGAATTTTCTCACAAAATAGCCCAAAAGGTAATTTTGAGGGACTCACGCATTTTAGGCGTCATGTTTGGAATTGGTGGCAAAGCGTATGAGGCTCCGCTAGACCAGACCGGAACCCAGGTTCGATTTCGCCCTGGGCCGACCAACCCCTCTACCTTCCGCGGGCCGCTAATTTGGTACCAAGGTGATCCTTGGTAATTGGCTGGCCCCCGAAACTAAAAAGGCTCGCACGCATTCTTTAGCCTCTACGACTATGCTGCAGAGTGCGTTCGGCGCATGCTTACAAAGGATATTAAAGACGCCAAATTCTTCATGCTTTACCTATATTGGCACAACGCCATGAAGACCTGAATCTGGCAAAAAATGAAAGCCGAAAATGTGCGCGGACACTGCCCTCAGCGTATATCTGTCGTCCATCCTTCGAGCAGTGTGCGGGATTCCGGCTAAATTATGCGGGCTGCGTTTGACTTTAAAGACGATCCGAATTGCAATGTCATCCACAGTTTAAGAGGGAAAGAAACAACGGATCAAAAAAGCTTGAAATTCTTGATTGATTTATTCTTTTGATAAGGGCAGAAGCAGCTCAAAAAGCTTCCTTCGTGTTGGATTTTTCTCAAAATCATTCTCTTTGCGTTGAACATGCTTCCACAACAGACTCTGTTAGTTTTTTTTCAGTTTTGCGCAGAAGATGTGACTTTCTTCATGAAACTGTATGCATATTTTTATGCTTGCAAAAGCCGCAATCGTTTTTACTTTTATGAGCAAACACAACATGTGGAGACCCTTATTCTGTGATCGTAGTTAGTGACTCTGTTCTTTTTGAAAAAACTAGGTAATTCTTTTTTTCCTCTTCCCACTAAGTTCCAATACATCCTATCCATTTGACTTTGGGCTAATTGTAAGGTAAATTGCCTGCTATCATATCATCTGCGCGTTTTACCTCAGAAGTGGTACAGTTTGTCAAGGAAGGCAGGCACAGTGGAACAGTGGACGGAAAGTAACAGAACCAGCGCGAAATAAGTGCAATTCATCAACTAGCTATAGAAAAAAAGGTGTCACCGTGATTTTAGGCACTGCTCGAGCACCAACAATAGATCAATATTTAAAAAAAGACGTCTCTCATGTCTAATTGCTCAAAACCGGAATGTCGATATGAACATAGAATCGTATATAGGGGCAACCAAGCAGAAACTATCAAGCGTCTTCGTGGAGAGCTGGCTCGATAGAGTGAAATGCATAGCAGGTACGTGTGTTTACTTCGACTATCAAATAAAAATCATGTTACAGAATACATTTTACTCTGATACTAGTATTGTTCGAAACTGTCATTGCTCCATTCGATCTCTCACTTGATGATCACTTTGGAAGAGTTTATTTAGCGGTATGTGTAGATTTTCAGCCGCATTAAAATAAGTGGATATATGTTACAGTCGATTACACTGCCTTCCAATCCATCGTTATCAAAATCGGAAAAACTGAAGAAATGTCATCAACTAGACAACGTGAAAAATAAACCTTTGGTAGGCATTCTTCAATTTTCCTGTTTTTCAGCTTGCCTGTTTGTTCAGGAAGACCAAGTTTGTGAGCGTATCGTCAAATTCAATGATTGGGCAAGCATAAGAATAGAGACAGCTAGCGAAAAGGTTAGTGAAAAAGATGAAATCAGTTTCTATAGAATCTTCGATTTTTCGGTATTTCAAGAAGGCTGCTCTACGTTAGTGCATGTGAGTGCGTCAGTGGAAGTGAAAAAGTGGAAACACCCACAATGTTCCAATTTTGATACTTGACAAACAAACACTCTCCCGTGATTCTTGTCAAAAAAAACGTTAAAAAAGTCTTTGTCGGTAACAAAGTCTTCCTCACTTTTTTTCAAATCTCGATTATGCCACTCAAAGACCTCGTAAAACGTTCATAAATGGGTGCTCATAAGATTTACCACAAAAAGAATGTTCCAAAATTTTTTGTGGCGACTAATTTATCAGGGCTTTAGGGGAAATTTTTTTGACTACATGATAAAGAGCAATCAGTAAATCGCTCTACAATGCTGACATAAGTGGAAGCGCTACAAAATGAAACTTCGATACTCACAAACAATGACATACCGAGAGGGGGGGGGAAGCTAATTACATAGTTATAAATATGTACCAAACGATTCCAAGCAATTGCTGCGCTTTTATACGCGCTTCTGCGCCATGGACTTCACCGAATGCTTTATTTTTTGTGAATCACTAATATCATGAAGAAAAAGGTCATTTTGAGGCGTACCACACGTAAATTGACAGAATTAGCAAAGAGACTGTCGTGAAAATAAATGATAGCAGTTGCTTGTGGAACAACAACCAAAGTGGAATGAAAATAAATGCGCTTCATGCTCCGAAAGTAGGATTACTTGTAACTAGCAAGGGGATGGTCAGAAGTTGCGAAACCAAGCAAGTTGCCTACCTTTCGAAGCAGCATTCAACGCTGATTTGGAATCTATACTCCTTATCTGCTTAGCCCATTGTGGACAAAGTTATGAGCAGTTTTATTGCGAAAAAATCGTATATAAAAATGGCAAGCTTAAGCACATTGTTGCACTTTCAGCTCACCTTTAAGTTTCAAGAATATAAAGTAACCTAGCTGCATGATTTGGCCTAATATCGCAACGAACGTGGCTCTATACTCCCAAATTTGTGCTTTGCATGGACGTTTTCTTAGCAGAATAACGACCTTTCACAGCTCATAACTTCGTCTACAAAGGATGCGGAATAGAAATTTGAAGTCAGCGTGTTAGGCCCCGGACAGACTTCACGCGATTTGATCGTCGCGACTCAATCGCCGACATTTCCATTTATTTTCATTTCACATTCAAAAAGTTCGGGGTGGAAAAGTATCACAACCGAAATGCAAGTTGATCGGCATGGAATGATGTTGTAACAGTTGTCTCGTCGCGATTCAGTCGCGACGATCAAATCGCGTGAAGTCTGTCCGGGGCCTTATGCTGCATCTAATGGTATGCAGCTCGTTTGGATTGGTCACTTCGATTTCTGACCATTCCCTTGTAAGCTGTGCCCAAACGTGTTGAGGTACGGAAGGCTTACGAGATGACACATGACTGGAAAAAATTCAAGCAACCAATATCACCTGAAGAACACATGAAACAGGTAACTCAGAACTTTTATGCGCTCAGAGATTTTTTTTCAAGTTGTCTCTCAATTTTAAGCGTGATAATGTGATCAAAGCTCTAGATGATGCTGAGAAAAAGGAACTATCGGAGCTAGAAGGGCGTATTAAGGTAAACTGTTTGCCTTACTTGCTCACAGAAAAGTACCTTATTTTCAGAGGAGACTGGGTGAAGACTCGTTGCTTTTGACCCATCGATTTATGACCATACCTCAGATTAGATCCGCCTGATCAGGATTGTATATCAAAGTGTAACGTGTCGTATGAGCATGCGAAGGATACGTTAGTCCCCTTGTTACTTTTCTATTGTTGCAAATTTGCTGCACTTTTTCGAAATCTTTGAAAGTTCGATTCAACAATTGACATTTTTTGTTTAAGTACATATCCTAAGAGGATCAACATCAAGTAAACGCAGAAAGTCAATTTAGTTGCAGATCTCGATGTTTGTTGTTTGGCTGTTATTTTTATATCATGCCGCTCATTTCATATGAGTAGGTAATAAACATGATAATCACCATAGTGTGCAAGTCACCCCTCGGCCATATAGCCTTATTTCTTCCGTTTTTATGCGGTTGGTTACAACAATGCCCACTTCAGTGCGTGCGCTCATTGCAGGCAACTACCGTCCCATTGACTATCATGGTATGCGACTCTTTTGTAAAGTTATGGTTGTTGAATAAGGTGAAGACAAACGTTACAAATTACCCAAACCACTATTTTACGATTGTGTGTGTTTTGATCTTATCATTAATAATACCTTCCTGAACAACATGTTATCTCCATTATCAGCAACTCCAGAATCTTCATCTCTTACTATACACCTTTCGTAAACCACCAGAATGTTGTACCATGTAGTGCAAAAAATTCTGTAAATCGGCGCATCAAATTACTTCTGTAATCGTTGAACCTTTATTCGTTGCAATTTTTAGCGTAACGTTCAAAGAGTCGGGCATAGATTTCATCGCCTCGCGATTCTCCCGACGGTCAAATGTTACGAGTTTATTGCATGCAGTTCGTTTTGCATCTCGGTTGTGATCGCTTTTCGACACAGCATTCGCGAATTGCTACTACAAAATGCAAGATGGTTGGCATGCAATGAAGTCGTAACAGTTCTCTAGTCAGAAGGATCGCGAGGCGATGAAATCGCGTGTGTATTCACGGCCCTCAAAGGCAGTGTCAGGAATTTTGTGCTTCCAGCTTTCTGCATGTTTTAGGCCTTTTGGACACGTGGAACCCGAGTTTGAGCTCTGAACGGTGTGAAAAGGCCGATTTTGGGGCGTTTACCCAATTCGAAAAAAACAGGTCGGACGAGATTTTCAATGGAAAGTCGGGAGGCCCCAGTACGAACGTTCTATCGCATAATTTTTGCTTTGGATAACATGCACAATGCGGGAGCGATCGTGGGGTTCCGCGCCGAACAGAGTCCGAGCTCGCATTAATTGGGGTTGCTTGCGCCGGTTCGAGGGCTAATTCCTCAGCGCGGGAGAACATCAACTACCCGGACTGGGCCTGGAGGTTATTGGGGTATAAGGAACCCCACCACGCCTACATCACCCAAAGTGCGAATTTGCCGGAACACTGCCTTTAAGGCGCCATTCGAACAGATACGGACCGGTTTCAAACAAAAAAGCGGAAAAAGGTAGGAATACTACCTTTCCTGGAAATCATCAGTAGTGAGAGAAGATCGCAAGCATCAATAGCAAAAAAGAAACAAAAAGAGATTAACCTTAGCCAGTCGAGCGTTATCAAGCTCGTAGTTGGGTGGTGCTGAGTCTAAAAAAATTGCAATTGAATTGATTGAAATTTTGAACTATTTTTGGACGATTAGGTAACAAGATACAATCACTGAAATACCGAAATTACTGCTTGTTTATAAAGTGAGTCCCGAAATTGGTACTGTATCTATGTTTTTAAGTTTATAAAAGACTTTTGAATTAGAGCATGTGAGAAAACAGAAAAATTTAACAAACACTAGCAAATACATTAGCAAATTTGACACGTTAGTGTTGATTTTGCCAATGTATCCTGCGTGAGAATGAATAAAATTACGGTATTTGAGTGATACTAACGCCCCTTCATAGCGTCTGCTCCCGGCTTGATTACGTTGACGGGTGCGATCCAGCACATCGGTCACATGGGAAGTTTTAAACAAAAGCAAAACTTTTTTTGCATACGCTAAGTGATCAGAAAGGATCAAACAAGTTCTGCATGCGACCTATGGGTTCAGGCTACATATTCTCTTCCGCAGAAGCGTTGCGATGATTTGGAAAGATATTCCGATAGTATTAGGTTGGCACATAAGTAATGCAACTTTTTATATAACATTTGTCTATTTGAACGTAGCGCATTCATTCTTTGGCAATATAAGAAATATGATGTAAGCTTCTAATGCACACATTTTTGCCGAATTTTACCGTCCTATGTGAGGATTACGGTAGGTTTACGGTACTACGGGAAAATTTTCAGAATGCGTCAGATTTTGCTGAAACTTGGCCTATAGAGCTTATTTGACATGCTGATCACAAAAATGGGATCCGTTTCGCATGAAATGGCCTCGTTCGTGAGATCAAAAGATGAATTTCATTTTAGCGACAAATGAATATGATATTCGTGTTTACCGCATAATTACCCTATAGTGCAAAGTTATAGCGAATTCTGACTTTTCGCAGCTTAGTTATTGACAAATTGCCTTCAAAACTTGACGCATTTGACTTGCTCAGCTTCTCAAAGGGCGGCCCACTTAATTTGTGTTTAAATTTTATTTCTTTTTCGCTGATTCCAATGTACCAACTTCCAGCTACATGCTGCTTATAATTGCTTTTTCATATGTTTGGATCAGGTTTCGTAGGGCTTCATGTTTGCCAAAAAATCGTGAAATCTCGATTTTCAGCAGTTTTCAAAAAATGGTTAGATTTTTTGTACTACGTTATCAAAAATCAAGCGGTTTGCGCAGACTTGCAGTTTACATCACGATCTACATGATGTCACAAAATGAGATTGCTACATAAAATAGGAAAAAAGTTACGGGAAAAGTTGCAAAACTTATGTGCCAACCTAATATAATAGTAAGTGTTGTGCATCTTCCAGTATCCGTCCCGCTTCGATGTCATGACTTGTTTTCCCCCACCTTGTAAATGTAGATAGGCTCAAACGAATTGACTATCTCGAAATAAAGGTGTTCTCACAAGGTACTTCCCCGTTCTACAAGCACAATACTTTTGAGGGCCCCAACTCAACTCGACATGGCCCCATTAGGTCCCGAAAAGTTCAACCAAGTGTTATGGTTTGAATGCACATGGTGAACCACAGATTCGTCACTCCGCTTTTACGATCACATTGACTTTTTCTAAGCAAATGCCTGTTTATGTAAGTGATCAAGGTCAGTTGATGCACTCATTTTTCTTATGGGAATCGTTTCCTTGAGCAAGAAAATCCAAATGCAATTTTTATGGACAAAGATGAATGTCTGTTTGTCTGTCTGTTGTGTATCTGCGTATGTATCTATAGTAAGTAAATTCTGAACAGAAATTTTTATTTCTTAATCGATCTGGACCAAAGTTGTCACACATGTACTTCAGGGCAGGCGGGTGTCGTGGGCTCTTCTTTCATCATTGGTCGATATCGATCTTATCGTTTTTTGCAAAGTTCCACCTACGAGGCTGAGAGTCAGCACAGGGAGTTATTGGGCATGCTGATTACGAGAATATCATCAACAAAGACGGGCGGAACTGAGTCTGCTAGCTAGCAAGTTTTATGAAATTATTGGTACGCAATGCTATGAGGGAAAACGGCTGAACAAAACGTCTCTTTCTTTTTCCTTGGTTTTCGGCTAGAATAATAAGAATTCAGAAAGCGCTTTCAAGCATAGGATTCAGAACTGCTGCAAAAACACCTTCCATCCGGTTTTTGCCTTGAATGCTGACATTTTATGGACTACCATGATAACACGATAACAAATCAAAGTACGACCGTAGTAGTCGTAGTAGTAATCAATCAACAACTACGATAACAAAACAAAGTTGGAAGACTTCAGCTCTCGTAGATATAAAAACAGCGCGACAACGATAAGAAAGTCATCGGAGCCGTCTTGTCTTCACCTTCAAAAAGTTCGGTCTGTTGGGTTCCATTGTTCAAAGTACTCAATGAAAGGAGTGATTTTCACACAATTCATAGTTTCCATTACAAAAACCCTGTAACAGATGGGAGATGGGCATCTATTCAGACAATCGCCGGGAGCAAGCGGATTGCAAACTCGCGCTTTCTTGCAGGCGGTCAGCAAAATTTTGATACGTGGCCAAACCTTCGGCGAGCAGTACTTCCTTTAGTGTCACATGTTCTGCCATCAGGCAGTAATAAAAAATTTTCTGCGAGCGATTGTCAAACAATTTCTTTCAGCAAGCGCTGGCCAAATTTTAGAGAACGCTCCGACTTTTGTTGCGCCTTTCAGGCGTACGCCGAGCAAAGGTAACACTCAACATGACAGAGGTGTCACCGATGGTTATACTACCTGATTGGGGTACTTTCTCTCAGCGAAAGGTACCTGCGGGTTGTGCGGTCCATTACAAAAGACCGTGCGCCCTCAATATTTTTGCATATTCTCGCGAAAGTCCGCGAAAATGCGGCCACTGCGCCGCAAGCAATTTATGAAAAAACCGCAGTTGTTTTCCGAGCATTCGTCCGAAATTTGGCCAACATTCTTTCACATATTTGCAAGTGGACAGCAACAAATCAGCTGACTATTTTTCCGGTGCCCCTTGCCATCCCATGACTGCCTGCCCCCATCGATTATTTGAGTGGAACAAGGAAGAATGTTACCGGAATCGCCCTCTTCTTCGCTTTCAGAATATGTATATGCTTGGAAAGCTGTGTTGAGACATGGTATCACATGCAAATTCGCTTTCTTTCCTTTCCAACTTTGAATGAGACTTCTTTCCAAATGGCCATTGAAGTAAGATATTCTATTAAATGAGCGAAAAGTTGCATGCCATATGAAAGATGAAAGCATTCCAAATGATAATAAACTTCCATTATATACCAGTGCGTCACCTCTGCTTCGCAGAGGCTCGCACTGGTCCTACTCTATATGCCTTACTTATTCTCGCCTAATAATGGCTTTAAACTCACCGCGCAATGCCGAGTATCGCGAATAAAATGTAAACAACTATACATTCTAAAAGCTTTTTCATGTAAGATCGGTGATTTCGCTGGATGTAGCTTTTCGCATAAGAACATATGCAAATTTGAATAGGTTTTGACACTTTTTTGGCTTGGTAATCGCCATGAGGACAATAGTTATCGTGAGCTGCATCTCTATGCAAAAATCTTCTCAAATGCTTAGGTAAAACCACGGCGGAATGACCATTGACGCGACCATTTCTTTCTGGCGTCATTTTCGTAAAGTAGCAAACCTTTGATCACTTTTTTGTCTAAAGTCTATGGCATACATATCAACCTGCTAAATACATCCATGGCTTTGCA